GCCAAAGGCTTCTGTTCATGCTGTGGCAGCTTGCCCATCTACTGGAGCTCTGACGTTCAGGCCCGTCAAAGATCCTGCCTTCTGGAGCATGGTTTTTTGTTTCTGCTTGAGAAGCATTTGCTAGAAAATCAGTTCAGTGTTGCTCTGTATCTATCAGCTGTGATGGAATATGATTTATAAACTTTCTCTTTCAGATACAAGAGAAAATAGGAACTCTTTTGTCAAATGGATAACTTGAACAATGCAGGTATTCAAGACTGTCTACAGCGTCCTGCTGTTCTTTATACCCCGAGATGGCAACACCACTGAAAGTGAACAGGCTTTTTTTGAAACTATTGTTAGTTTCTAAGTTCTAGAATAGCTTTGGAATTTTTTTGGGCTGTTGATAAATATCTGGTAAAGACTTACTGTAAGCCCATCCAAAGGTTTACATCTGAAAAGACCCATCTGTAAAACCTAAACCTTTGGCAAGCTGTGTAATAAAGGATTTGTATTTTTTGTTAGTTTTGTTCTAGTATTTTATAGCAGATCTATTTAATGGTTCTGACTTAGGTAAATTAAGCTCTTGTCTTAAGGCAAAAGTCGATAATACTGCTTTGCCCTTGTAATGAGCCTTATTAGGTAATAGGCTCTGAACCATACAACTCATAATCAGCCTTATTTCTGAAATATAAAGGGGAAAAAATATGATGCAAGTGATAATGGTATTTAGAAGTACCTCCATGAGGATGCTATCTGAAGAAAAGATCTTCCCCAAGGGAGAGAAGCAGGTGGCCTTCTCTTGCCTGTAATGAAAGCAGCTCTCCATGATGCAACAAGATTCTTAAGACTGCAGCCAGCATACAGGCTCCTTTACCATAGTGTGTGCAAATAAGCAAACCTGTCCTTATCCTGGCAAATAAATTCCTAAACCAAAAGCATGGCTGTAGCCCCTGTGAAGAAAAGATTAAGCATAGTGCTCATACTCAAGCTAATCTAGGCAGCAATGTACTCAYACTGTGCACAGCGTTACTAAACATTATGTTTAATTTTAAGTATTTAAAAAAAAAAATATCTTCACTGTCCTTAAACGAGTCTTTTATAGGATTCTTGTTAAATTTCATTGATAGGCCTTAGCAAACTCACTTTATTGACCTGTGTCCTTTAGAGAAACTAACTTCAGATCTGCCTATAAAAAGATCTTTTCCCTGCAACCCTGCCTTTCATGTGATAGAATTGAAGTATTGAAAAGTAACAGTTGCATCTCTGAAACACAGTAGCACAAGCAGGACTTTATGTATAAGGTTTTCCAACTTTATTAAAAAGGGCAAGCTTTCCAAGCACCAAATAGAAAATATACATAACAAAGGTTGGAGAGGTGATACTGCTCAGTATTTTCCCTTAACCAGTCTTCTCACAGTTCACAGGTACATTATTGAACATCCTAGGGCCTTGGTGGGCGCATGCCAGGTGGAGGGGGTCCTGAGAGTAAAGAAAATTAGTTGAATAGCAAATATTCACCTTAAATATGGAAAAGGACAAAGGTGAACCAGGATTTTTTTTCTTTTTTTTTTTTTGCTAGTGATGGTGTTGGGACACCAAGGCATCTACAGCCAGCTTGTGCAGTTCAAGAGCCATGGAAGCCTACCGTGCTTCAAATATATATCTTACCCACAATTATTGCTTTTTATGGCTTCTATGCATTTCAAATTACTTCTGCTCACCTCTCATTCCTGGAGGGGGTGGTCTCATGCCTGGTGGAGGCATTCCCATAGGAGCACCACGGCCAGGTGGCATGCCCATTGGTGGGCCCATTGGTGGTCTCATACCTGGAGGAGGTCCCATCATTCCTTAAGAAAGAAAGAACGAACAAGTCTAAAACTGCTATACAGAAGGCTATACCTAGAACAGACCAGACAGCCTCAACAAGGAATGCATTTGTATTTAGTTAAAAAGCAAACAAACAAATAAACCACACCTGGCCAAGCTACTTGCTTCTTGTTCTTTCGAGTTCTTAGCTTTTGTGTATAAATCTGGCTTCAGATTACAGGCTACATTTCAGAATAATCGTGCTTAACAACTCTTCATCAGACTCAGACCACAGGCCACCAGATCCATCACTAATAAGACCAAATGTTATGGGCCCTTTGCTGTCCCACTCGTACAAAGTAGTTCCTACCTGGAGGAGGTGCTCCTCTACTCATGGGTGGTGGAGGACCCCCACGCCCTGGTGTGTACTGAGTTGGAGCTCCTGCTATGCTAGCAGTGGCTGCTGCAGCAGCAGCAGCAACTGTTCCACGGCCTTGAGGTGTCATCACCTGAAGAAACAGGAAAAAAAGCGCTAACAACTTGCTCACAGAGAAATACTCCATCTGCTTTATGTTTTCAACAAACAAGATTTACTTATTCCTTCAGAAAATTATGCTGGTCCCTTCTTAACAAGTTATCTAATGCTACAAACCTGTAACACAATTCCCTAAATACTGTCCAGGCAGCTGTACTTTTCAAGCCTTCAAGCCTCTTTCAGCATATAAACTGCAGGGTTCCTAGTGGCAGCTAGTATGAAAAGCACCTTACTTATTAATTCTCTGAAATTACAATCTGAGACTACAGTTGTTTCATTCCATCAACATCTTGCATCATATTGGCACCAAGACGGAAAAACTGCCCCAGAAGATTTCACTCAAGTCCTTTTAAATGGGCTGCAGCATCTCACCTGCTGGGATGGTCCTCCCACTCCTCTTACAGGCCCGGCTAAGCCTGCTGGAGCCTGTGGCATGGGTGCACCAGCTGGTACTCCTCTTCCAGCTGCTCTCCCAACTCCAGGTCCTCCAGCAGCTCCAGCAAGAGGTACCCGGGCAATTCCGGTCTGAAAAAAGAAAATGCCCCCCCCCCACACCCCAATAAATGATCAGCAAAGACTCTAGGTCCTGGGGACCCTTCAGCCCTCTTTTGTCCAGTGATTCATAGTAGAACTTTTTACAGTGGAATCCATTGGATTCAGATTCACAGCGATCTGCAAGTCTAAAACAATGCTGCAGTAACAGTCTCTGCAGGGCAGCAAGTTTATCAGACATCCCTTCCCTTTCTCTTTAGCCCAGTGCTCATTCTTCTTACATCTTTTGGAGGTGGCCCTTCAACTGTCATGGACACCAGGTTTTCCCCTCGTAGCAACACTAGACCAAGAACCCGTTTCTCTTCCCGCTCTGGCTGTTTTGAATTCTTAGGTCTAATGAAGAGAGAGAGAGAGAGAGAGAGAGAGAGAGAAAAAAATATATATATGACAAGTCAAAAGAGTTTCACACTGCTCTGCAATCCTCAAACCTGTGATGGAATGCTTGCCCAGACTGCAGAACCTGTCACAAAAAACACATTTGCATATGTCCCAGAAGGGCATGTAGAGGAGTGCAAGTATAAGATGTCTACTGTCTCCACATGGTATCTTCCATAATGCCTGGCTAACTAATTAGCACTGCTCAAAAGCACACTTTGGCTGTTGCACAACAATTGAAACAAAAATGAAATAGCATTGTAGGAAGGAAAATGAAATAATAACAAAACATTCTTCCCTTACAAATACATCCCTCACAAATACTGGGTTAAAGATGCAAGGCTGTGCCCATTGCTATGCTTTCGAAGAACCCGTGGGCCCTGGCACAGGATGGGTGTTGGGGTGCCCGGGGGTCTGTAGGGGAGCGAACCGCGGCCCCATTGCTCACTTGATCTTGCGGAACTCGTCGCAGTCGCAGAGAATGAGGTTCATGTGCTTGTCGAAGGCCTTGAAAGTGCCAATGAAGACGCGCCCGTCCTGCAGGATACACCGCATGCGGTAGTCGATGTGCTGCAGCATCTTGCTGCTCTTTCCCACCGTCTGGAAGAAAAACACCGTTACAGGACGCCGCGGGGTGCGGGGGCAGAGGCCGAGGCCGCCCGCGCTCACCATGGCTGCGGCTCAGACACCACTCGCGCCTTCCCGCCGTCACCTCCGCGCCGGCCCCGCCACCTGCACCGGAAGTGGCCTCAGCACGGCCTTACTTCCGCTCGCGACTGCCTCGCGAGACTCGCGCACAGCCCCTTCCGGCAAGGGAGGGGGTCGAACGCTGTTCCGGTGACGCGRCCTGGAGAGGGGGCGGCTGGGCGGGAGGCGGCAGCGGCGCCCACGTGCTGGGACAAAAGGCGAAGCTGCCGCTTTGCGCCAGTCACGCTAACTGTGCGGAGCCCAGCAGCGGGGCGGGAGCCCTGAAACGGAGCCGGCCGCGAGAAATAAAATGTTGGCGGCGACAGAGGCCGTGGGGGGGGCAGGGGGGGGGGCCGGGGGGGGCCGCGCGCCGCCCGTCGCCATGGCAGCGCGCCGGCAGCGCGTGACGCGCGTGCCGCGGGTGCCGCGGCCAGTGGGCGGGGCCAGTGGCCGGGAGCCTCCGCGCCGAGCGGGGTGTGGAGCGTCCGGCGGCGGGGCCGGGCCGGGCGGCAGCGGGTGAGCGCGAGTGGGGCTGGTCGGAGCTCGGCGCGGCGGCAGCTCGGGGCGCCGCGGACCTCGATCCGGGCGCTGGGCCGGGCAGAGGCGGCGGGCAGGCCCCGCGCGGCCTGTTGGCTTTCGGCGCCCGTGGCCGGTTCCTGTGGTGGGGCTGGGGCAGTGGCGGGTCCTCCGCGAGGCTCCCGCCTGGCTGCAGCGCCCGCGCCGCCCTGCCTGGCGCCCTGGCGCTTGGAGACCGGCTGGGCTTGATGGGCCTAATAATTAGGAAAACAAACAAACAAACAATCAAAAAAACCCAGTTCTCCCTTTAGCCAGTTACTATTTCTGTCCCTGTTAGGAGGCAGTCTATCTCCAGCTGCATTGGAGGTTGCAAGAGAGGAATTGAGTGTCATGCGATTTCTAGTGTTCTGCAGCTGGGCAGAACCACAGTGGGCCTTGGGGAGGTGGGGAGCATAATATTCTGGAAAGCAGTGGATCTGTGTCAGGGAGTTCTTTGATTTTGGAGATAAGGCATATTTCTTCTTTGTGAGCTTCAGGAGGCAAGGGTGAAGATTGTCCTTTGGCGTTAGGATAGGGCTCTAGTGCCTGGGGTCCCCTCTTTCTGCACGATGGAGGAAATGTTTTCTCTGCATGCTTGTCCCATTGGTCACCATCCTACTTTCATTTAACCTGTGTGTGGGGGATTGCGTTTCCTATTGCTATTGCCATCTGGGTATTTGCTGAGAACGGACTAGAAGGTTTTGCTGCATCTGCGAAGCTGCAGCTATTCAATGGTCAATTGGGATTTCTGCTAGCCTTTTTTTTTTTTTTTTTTTGGAATGTGCTTTCACCCTACTCATTTTCATTCCGCATGCAGCACCCTTTGCTCTTTGTCTGTAATGAAAAGAAGACTGAGTTGGTGAATAGGCAAAAATACTCTAGTTGTTTTAGCTTGCTGCTTCTGAGGAGGCTTTTGATTAGTATGTTATGCGCTGCTCTGCTGATTTCTTCTTGCGTTGCAGCTACCCCTACACCACACCACAGCTTTGTGTGAAGGACCTCGTTCTGCAGAAGCAGAGTAAATTCATCTTTGGTGGATTTCATCTTGGCTACTCTCGCTCGGTGGAAAAACTGGGAGTTGCTTACATGCTGTTATTGAGAAGGACGTGCTGAGGGAGACCAGTAAGTGACCGATAGTGATTATTGCAGGGAATTACAGACTATGTACCGCCTCCCAGAAACTTCTAAATGATTCAAAACTAAATAGCTTTTCTTCCCAGATACAACACTGTGGTGCACTGCAAAATACCATGCAATTTCAATTTTAACATCTGTCACCTTTCCTGTCTGCAGACATACAGTGAAATCTGTTTAAAAAAAAAAAATGTTGACTTGAAGTACCCTTTGTGTCTTTAGTCCAGTCTCTGTTCTGTTCTTCTGGAAAGCTTCTGCTGAGTCACTGATATGTGTAGGTCCTTGAAGGGGCTGTTTGGTACAAGCTGCTTGATGAGTTTCTTAGCTTTCTGTTTTTTTTTTTTTTTTTTTTTAATTTCTAATTCTCTGGGTTCTTATGTTTAATTAATTCATTTCAGTGGTTGACTCTGTTCCTTGGTAGGACCATGTGATACCTGTTCTGTGGTACTGCTGTCCAATGAAGTGTTTTTCAAGCTCTCTTTCTTTCTCATGCATATTTGTTGTCATGTATGTTTGCTGACTGGACTAGGAAGCATAGTTTCCATAAATGGCTGTTTGTTTGTGGAAGAAGTTCAAGGCAAACATAGTCTAATGTGTCTTGGTGAGTTATTTTCTGAGCTTGTATGCAACTGATTTTTTTTTGAGGTTTGAAAATAATGGAAGGAAACTTTGCTAGTTTCTCGCTTTGGCAAGGATGTTGTAGGCAGAGTGCATTGTCTCTAGGAGCTGTGTATCAACTCTGAAACACTTTCTGTTAATGAAACAGGAACCTTTATAGTTCTGTAGAATTTTCCATAGTCTTAATGTTTTAATGGGCACTTCCTGACCCTAAGTGGTGCATGTTCTCCACAAGGGAAGTGCCCATTAAAACATTAGTTTTAGTGCATATAGTGCATATTAGTGCAAATAGTGCATATTAGAGATTTGTAAAGGCTTTTACCTATATAATCTGTACTCTGCCACAGACTTCTTTCTAATTTGCGTTCTTAATCTGTTGGACTTCTGTAGTAATGTGTAGTATAAGTTGCAATATAAATAAACTGTGACTATGATTGAAGAGACTGAAGGAAGGAGTGATAATCGGTCAGATGTTAATTAGCTGTGGGTATATTAGTTAAAAGACTTTCTGTTTCAGATCTTGACACCCAACGAGGTGATCTCTGAGCCTCACCTTTTTTTGCTATGTATTCACTGTGCCTTGAATGTAGAATGGCTTTAGATAGTTTCTAGTCACAATGGGTTAATGTATGGAAGATGCTAGTATTTCTTCAGCTGTYGTGAACCTTTAGGTTTATTGGAGGTTGTTTGCTTATGCCGTGTGGCTATGGTATCTCAGGCTTTCTCGTTTGGGAGAGAACTGAAGAGAGAGCTGAATGGAAATCCTGTATCATTTTGGTACGTGTTTGTCTGTTTCTAGACTTAATGAATTAAAACTTGTGCATCCTGTAGATTTGTGCCTGTCATGCACGTTGTGCATTTTGCCTGGGGAACATATAGAAAGCTATAGTACTATAAACTAGTACTTATAAACTAATAATTGCTGTAGTATGGGTAAAGACTTAGCTGATGAGTTACCTCTGTTTTGGTTTGTCACTGCAAGAGCCATGTAAATGTCTGTCCTTCTGTAATTCAGGAGAAGGAAGACTGACTAATCATTTAATTAGATTATTTTCTATACTGTACAAAAGGATCATATAAAGAGTTGATGCTATAAAGTTCATAGATTCAACAGACTTCTTGCATCTGCATTGTCTCATTATTACAGTGTACTTAGACAATGAAAGTAAGATATCTAGGATGAGAGAACTCCTCGTTTGCAGTGTGACATGCACACAATATCTGCTGTTGGGCATTATCTTATGAACAGGCTGGGGATGACTCGTCTAGATACGTCTACTGTCAATATTAACCCCAATAATAAGTGTTGTATAGAGGGTAGCAATTTTTAAATATGTCTCGGTCTACTCCTATCTTTCTAGTTACTGCAAATCTGTAAGCACTTGCTCTGCCTAAATGGTTGGGCAAGATTCTCCTCTGTGTTCTATATGCTTTATTATCCTAATCACTAACTTTAGACAGAAGAAGCCAGCTGCTTCAGGGTGAGTGTAGAAAAAAAGGAATACAGGCCCATTTGTTGATTGTTCTGGGTATGAAAGTGACAGCAGCAGCTGTGTGTTTCAAGGCAACTTGTGAATATATTTGTTTATGTTAACATGTCTCTCTCAGCAAAGRATAAATTGTATCTTTTTCTTCTGGAGTGAGAGACTAGAACAGTGCTAATAAAAATTTCCTTAAAAAAAAAAGTAGTAAGTTAACATATGCTCCTTGGTACAGAGACAGTATCTTCACAGTACAGCATACACTTCATGCTTTCTGTTAGTTGGTCAGCCGCATTCTGTTGGCTGCATAGGACTCTTCAAAACACTTTTCTGTTTGAGTTCTTATCTGAGCATTTCCTTTGTGTGACTTCATTTTGGCCAAGCTGGAATATTCTTACCTGGTGCATGTTATCTGAGGAGAGCCTTTTGTGTTTGCTGTAAAGATGAAGATGGTAAAAAACTTTAATTGTTTGTGTAACTGGTAGATTTTTAACTTGTATTTTTGTTGTTGTTATTTCTTTTTCAATTCTTTATAATAGGCGTTGCTATAACCATGCTTTTCTGTCATTGTACTCTAGACCCATTCAGTCTGACTCAAATATTTGTTTCTCATGAGTTTGTTGTTCTTACTGCAGCAAACTGTTGTTCATACACAAGGTCAGCTCTTACCTGGTACATTGCACTGTGCTGCTTATCTGGAAGGTTGAAGACATTATTATTGTGAGAACCTGACATGGTTGAACGTAACTTCAGTGTGTTTTGAGTGGTTCATCTTGACTGTCACTTTTCCACAGGAGGTGTGTCATTGTGTGGGTGTATGGAAACTTAAGCATCCCTTAGATTGATGCTAAAAAGGAAAGAGGTCAGAAGGAGTACTGAATGTATTCATCTATGAGCAGGAGAGTTGTGTGTTGTTGAAATATTGTGAAATAAGAATCTGATTTGCCAGATACAAGGTGGTTAATAGAGCTACTTTGCAGCATGACACTTCCTGAGCAAGAATGCTTTAGTAGGATACTGTCACACCATGATAGAAGGGACTCCCATTACTTTTCAAGGGATGGAATAGTAGTGTGGCCCAGGTCCAGACCTGTTGTAGAAATACTGCACTTATCCTCCCATGTCCTCAATTTCAGCAGACAGGAGTAATTGTAATGTGACTATTGCAAAAGGCTGCACAGGAGACCATAGCTACCTAGGCTTGGAGAGAGAAAAACCAGAGCTGCAGTTTGTGCAGTGAGTATCTGAATATTGTGAGGAAGCTGCCTGAACCAGTAAAATTGAGAGCGTTTGGTAAGGTTGTGCACACATGTGTATATGTATGTGCATGAGCATGCAAGAACAAAGAAATGTTAACGCACATGGCTTTTCATATATCTGTATACTGATACCAGTCTCTCCTAGGCAGGAAAAGGGGATAGGCATGAACTCCCTTACTCTGGATCATCTGTGCAGCTCTTTATGGTTATCTTACATTGGCCATGCAACTTGTGTGTTAGACTCAACTGCTTTCATAAAATGCCCTTTTCCAAGTGAATCATATAGACCACAATCATGGGCCAAATGTCTCTGTAGCTGCTTGTCTTTGCTGATCCATGGGAAGATTTATTTTCTGTACCTACTTTTAGCAGGCATTTGGCTTGCTTCAGGAAAACTCTGAAGGTTGTTGCTCTTCCTTCAGGCCTTAGCCTGTCTCAATATCCTTTTTTCGTCTGATCAAAGAAATCAGACTAGTCTATTAATCATGAAACAATGTCCCTGCTTGTACTAGCTGTTGTCTCCCCTGGGAAAGAAGTAGTGCATTGTCCATGGAAGATGGTGAATTGTACTTTGGGTGCTTATTATTGAGTCTCAGGAAGATTCTTTAAGGACAGAACTTCTTTTGTGTCTGATCAGATTTCAGTTTTGACAGCTTGAAGGTTTTGTACCTGAGAACTGCTGGCAGGGAGGGTCATTTCCCATATGACTACTGACTATGGCTCAGTGAGAGAGAGTAGGGCCATTTCTTCCTCCCAGGAGAGGGCAAAAACAGAGATAAGCAAATACATTTCAGCCTCTTACTAACAGATGAAACACAGACCAGCATGTCTCACTACCATGTGGGACCAAACTCTGGACACAAGATTATGCCCCCCTAAGGCAGATGAAGGGTTGAAAAGGTACTATTCCAGAGCAAATCTTAAATATTTTTTTTTCTGTTATCATGGATAGCTTTTTTTTTTTTTTTTTTTTTTTGTTTCTTCCTTTTTTTTTAAAAGGGAAGGGGATTTTTTTGCTACTCTGTTATTTTTATTGATATTTAATTGCTGTTACACTATAACAGATGAAACACAGACCAGCATGTCTCACTACCATGTGGGACCAAACTCTGGACACAAGATTATGCCCCCCTAAGGCAGATGAAGGGTTGAAAAGGTACTATTCCAGAGCAAATCTTAAATATTTTTTTTTCTGTTATCATGGATAGCTTTTTTTTTTTTTTTTTTTTTTTTGCATTTATGATATTACGGAAAGGGAATGGGCTAATTGCTGCTACTCTGACTAATCTGAGAAATGTAATTGAGAAATGTAATTATGACATCAATCACCAGCACACGGTGGAAAAATAATTAAAAAAAAAATCGGTCACTAGCAGAGGGTGATCAGTGTATATCTTGCATAAAGTTAGTAGGTGAATTTAGCAAGCTATTGCTTTACCAATCCCCCCAAGCTGACTTGGGACTATAGACAGTGGGTGGCAGATGGGGCTTTATTGGCTACCGTCATGTACCTTCTTGTGTGAGTACAAGTTACCAAAAATATTCCTTAGAAAATAATGTTGACGTACAATTTCACAATGTGCTCTTTTGGCCATGCTGATGAGACCATGGTCTCTAGTATGCTTGATTATTATTTTTTATCCTGTATCTAGCAGGTCCAGCAAACCATCAGACTGGTTTTGTGTAGCTGTTTAAAGCCTGGTGGTAGGTGCAATGTAACAATTAAGAGAAAACTGCTCACTGTCTTTTCTCTTAACAGGTGTAAGAGTATATGCTGTCATAAAGGCACCCACAGTAGTCTGGAGCAATGCCACCACCCTCGGACATTGTGAAAGTAGCTGTAGAGTGGCCAGGAGCCAATGCCCAACTGCTGGAGATAGATCAGGTGAGATCCGATAACCAAACAGGGGAGGCATTGGTTTTTCCCCTGCACTGCAGACTTGATGCAGGAATATGGGGAGAGCAGAAATGGGCAATATTTCTTTTGATTGAGTGGAATACGGTACTGAGCACTGTCTCTTTCTGTTCTAGAAAAGGCCCCTTGCATCCATCATCAAGGAGGTCTGTGATGGGTGAGTCTTGTTCACTGGGAGACCTTGTGGAGAGCTTGTCTCCTCACAAGATTTGCTGGGGTACTGTGAAAAGTCTCTGCTACTTTTCAGTGTGCTTCTAACATGAGCCACACTACCTATTCCAAGTTTTAGCCATGGAATGAGCTGGGGTTTAATGAGGAACAAAATCATGTCTTAGAAAACAGGAGTTTGACATCATTATTCCTCTTCTGTGCGTGTGTGTGTCTGTATGTATGCCCTCAGGCTCCTGCAGTACTTTCTTCTTCAGAGTTTCCACAGAGCTTAACTTAAAGGAGACTGAAGTCCTTCCTGAAAGGAAGTGGTTTTTTTTTTTTTCATCTTCATTGGGAGCCTTGGTTTCTAATGCATAGGCCTTACTTGTTCTTTCTACCCTCCTGGGATCAAGTTCCTATTCTTACTGAAAGATAAGAAAGAGGAGAAAAACGCATGTATCCTTTTCCTTTGCTAGGTGGTCGCTGCCAAATTCAGAATACTACACCTTACGGTATGCTGATGGGCCTCAGCTGTACATCACAGAGCAGGTCAGTGTGAAGAAGAAAAGTGCTAACATTCTGGGTGGATGAAGGATTCCCTGGATTAGTGCTATGGAGTAACACTGTCCCTACTCCATAAGGGGCAATGTCATTCCTATCAAGAATATTCAGATTTTTAAAGTGTCATTCAACTGAGGAGTCTTTGCACTTCTCTATTTGTATGCCCATGGGTGCATGAACACAGTGGCTTGATTCAATACCCTCAGCAGAGTTGTATGATATAGAAACTTCTTTACTCATGTATACAAATGTGCACTGTAGATGTAATTGCATTTCTTTTTCCCAGTTTGCTGTAGCTTAAAGTTTATATTTTTCTTTCAGACGCGCTGTGACATCAAGAATGGAACTATCCTTCAGTTAGCAGTTTCCCCGGTAAATACTTTCTCACATCTCTCTTTCTCAATAGCTAGCCTGCTGTMGTAGGCACTTTTTTGCCTTTCTCCTTCCTTTTCCCCAAAGTGTTCACCTTTGTTGTGAGCTAACCTGCACAGTGAGATAAACACCCTTGTTTTTTCTTCCTGGTTGTGGCATGTATATCTTATTTTTTCGACAYTCTGCCCTTTTGTAGGACTTGCTGTAAATGAATCCTGTCTGTGTTTTTATTGTATTTCCTAGGTTAGCGTGTCACAAAACACCTGACAGACTTATTCTCATTTTAAGCATTAATATGGATTGGAAAACAACAGTACTGATATCTTACTGCAGAAAGAAAAATAATAGGTGAATTTGATCCAGTGAAGTGATTTCTTGCCATTGTGCTTTCAACTGTAGACAAACTGTAGACTGAAGGACAGTTTTCTTCATTGAAGTTCTTAAAGGCACATGTTAAGGTGCATAATTGGGAATGGAGGGCTCTTTATTTTGTTGAAGCTGATGGAATGAGAGTGAATAGAACAGGAAGAAGTGCAGAATGGACAAGAGATCATTGAGAGAATGTTGCTGATGAGATTTTTTTAACATCCGGTTTCTTTACTGGTCTCATTCTAGCTTCCTATATCTATCTCCATTCAGTTTACAAAGATGGAATGATCTTTTACTCTGATACGTAAAATAACATTTGACTCATCTGCTGGTCAGCTCTATCTGTATCCAGGAACTGGCAGAGTGCTGCCATGGTTGGCAGAAAAGTCTGTGGATGACTGGTTTGTAACAGGCAGCACCCCTGTTTCTTCGCAGTCTAGGGCAGCTCGCCAGCTGATGGAGAGGATCCAGTCACACAGTATGGAAGCTCGACTGGATGCCATGAAGGAACTGGCTAAACTTTCAGCTGATGTTACCTTTGCCACAGAGTTCATCAACATGGAAGGGATTACAGTGCTGACAAGGCTTGTGGAGAGTGGGACCAAGCTTCTGTCCCAGTAAGTTTTCTGAATTACAGGACTATTGGGCTAATGGAATAGGGTCTCAAGAAAGATCTAGGGTTACTTGTTAAAGTGACATTAAGCAACTAACATGGCAGCAAATGTATTTGAGATAAAGGCTTTCCAGTCTTTTGCTAAATCTCAAGAAGGAAAAGGGAAACAGTTGTGTTTTGTCAAACTTCCATTGAAAGGTCACTTGGATATTTCAGGTGACTTATTGTGTTTCTTCTGCTCTTCCAGAGCATAGTTATTAATCTGTGGCCTAAGTGAGAAGATAGTTCATGGGGGGAAAAAAAAATGCAATTATATGCAAAAATACCACTGTAGAACTGGTGACATRTATATGCACATCAACAGCAGATGTAAGTTGCTGGCTCTTATATAAGCGATTGGTACTTTCTGGCCTGGGTCTTGAAGTGAATTGCCATACTGTGCCATGCTGAAGGTCTGTTTATCTCACGAAGTGGAAAGGACTAAGAAAAGTGTAGCAAAGAGAATTTCACTTGTAGTCTCCAGTTTCCAACAGTTTTCAGGTTTTGGGTTTTCTTGCTAGAAATATTATGGGTTTTTTTTAAGAACCTTTGGACTTTTTTTTTTTTTTTTTTATAATTAATTTCTGCTTTTGACCTCTACAGTATTCTGTAGAAATGAAGTTCCCCACTTCCTTGTGCTATAGAGAAAAAAAATACTTCCTTTATTTTAAACATGTCACCTAACATTCATTTGCTTCTCTCTGCAGATTTTGTTGTGCCAAGTTGTAAATGTTCTCCGTAATCTTCTCTGAATCATACATATCTCCCTCATTGCTGTAGGATTAGGGTGAATTATGTGGTAGAATGATTCACCTTGTTTAAAACTAAGTAGAATGGATGTCCCCTGTGTCTTGGTAGAATGGAATGGGAAGAAACTTATCAGTAGAACAGAGAGTTAGCGTTCTTTAACCAGAGACAATCTGGAACTGTCGGAATGTTTTTCACGTATTGCGAACTTGGCAGGAAAACTCAAGGTCCATGTATCCTTAAGTGAACCATCCTTATTATAATACTAAAATCACACCCTAGGTTAAAAATACCCTCAGCCAGATGAAGACCCTTCCTCTGAGGGTGTGCRTCTTAGTGGACATGATGAGTAAGCAATATAATTGCATGTAAATTACTAACCAATCAGTGTGAGAGGGATGTACTTGGGAAAATTACTGAGCGTGTAAATATGATTTGGAATGTCAGGAGCATATGCTTGATTTGTGGGAGAGCACTGGGCACCCTGAAATAAATTATGTGATGACTAAATTCACCTCTGAAATAAATGAGCAAATGTCTCTCCTAGGTGTGTGATTGATTATTGTTGTATTGAACACTGAGCAGAGAATCTGCTTTTTGGACAACAATATCAGTCCTTAGTCACGTCTCTTCTAAGTTAAAGAATCGTTAAAAGTCTCCCTTAAAGCTCTTTCCTCTGGGAGCCATTCCAGAAAGCTAATCATTCATTCCATCTTTCCCAGTAGCTCTTTCCAGTACTGTGCAGTTGTGGGGTAATTTGTTATTTTTTGTTAGTTTAAAGCCTGCCTCTTTAACCTGTACTGTTTTGTTTCATATCTTTTAATTGGCTATTAATCCAAGAAASGGTTTTTGCTTTTACCCTTTAACAGCTGAAGGATTTGTTTGTTTTGTGCCATCAGTAAAATACCTTGTTAAAATCTTTTTTGGAAGTTCAAAAGTACTTTTATGTAAACTGTTCTCATCCTGACCTATTTGATTTGTTCAGAGAGCTTCAATATATGTGTAAAACATAACTTCCCTCTATAAAAGCTGTGTGTGACGATTCTTCCTTGTTAGACGCTGCTTCCTCTTTTTAGTAGTAGTATTCTTTTATTCTAGTTCCCACACATCTTTCTGGTTATGAGTGCCAGAATTTCTGAAGTATACTTCAGAGTTCCCCTGGTGTCCTTTTTAAAAATTACACATTATGTTTGCCACTTTCTGTACAGTACATTTAGTAGTTTAACAGTGGTATATTTTAGTTTCTTTGGAAGTTTTGGATAAATATCATCTGGTTCTGGAAACTTATTTTTCTTTTTAATTAATTGTTCTAAAATATAGTGGTGTTAAAATTACATATTTGAAAACTTTTCTCCCCCTTACAGATGGCAGGAGGAAAAAAAATCAACTCTGATTTGGAAATTTCTCTGAAATTTCTGCTGCACATCATTCACTTGGCTTTTCTGATATAATTACCTTCACTGAAAGCCCTTTAAAAGTTTTAATATGAGCCTTGTATTTTGAAAAATTAGTACTTAACGTGTTTTCACTGCATTTTATAGACTTTGCTCTGTTCTGATTYTCTGTTAGATTTTGCACAGTTCCTATGTTATGGAGTTTAGTTTGAACCCATGTCCCTATATCTGCAGGTTCACACTTTTGCTTGATTTTCTCTGATATTAGAACACATCTTTATTTAGTATATGTGTATGGATGGATGAGCTGTCCTTTTCAAAGATTTTTGCTTGTTTTGTTATTATAAATTTACTCAGGACAGTTTTAAAGAAACAAAAGAAAAACAACACTTCAAGATAGTCTAAATTTTCAGTTGATCATTTCACAAGGCTTTTTCATTTTCAGGGTTTTCTGATGTTGTTCAATACGGTGATGTTTAATTTTAAGACTTTTTTTCCTTCTCTGTCATGAAAGTGTTGAATTTAAGTAGTGGTATTGTGCAGTAAACTGCTCTGGAATAAATATTGTATTGCTTCTTCTGTTATTCCTTTAGTTTTCAGTCTGTGGTGGCTGGACTGAAATGATTCCACAAAATAATAAGAGCATAAATGGAGACACTTTATAGCTTCCCCAGCTGCCAAACTGTAGCCTTCTGTTAGGAGAAAGTGGTATCATTTTTTCTGTTGCCTGTTTTTGGGGGATTGGATGAGCTTTATCTGTGTGCAGATCTCTCTCAACTGCATTCTTCATTCTGTCAGTTACAGTGAGATGTTGGCATTCACCTTGACTGCCTTCTTGGAACTCATGGACCATGGCATTGTTTCCTGGGACATGGTCTCAATAACCTTCATCAAACAGGTGAGCTTGGGTTTAGGGAGGCGAGAAGTACCGTTTCATTTTTATGCTTTAACGCAGATTTCAGGAACAGCAATATGACTCAGAGCACAGTGTGCTCTAAAGACTTCAACCTAGCCTTCTGAGCCATGTGTCCCTTAGCTGAAACACACAGGTTTCCTGGATGGGTGTCAAATGACCTGCTGGTTCTTGTGGTTTTAGATTGCAGGGTATGTGAGTCAGCCTATGGTAGATGTCTCCATCCTCCAGCGATCTCTAGCCATCCTAGAAAGCATGGTGTTGAACAGTCAGACTCTGTATCAGAAGATAGCTGAAGAGATCACCGTGGGGCAGCTCATCTCTCATCTACAAGTGTGAGTGTCCACCCACCAAGAGTGGTGTGATCTAAATCAATTTCATTAAACTACATCAATATAAAAATACATTCTTTTACATTTAAGACACACTTCTGATAAGATAGCTATCAGACGGCAATTTCTCTGTCAGCTCTTTGTATCTGTCCTGAAAGGTGGGATGACAGATGACATCAAAGTAGATTACTTGGACCCTACATGTTCATTGAACAACAAGACAGATGTAGTAAATATTCTTATAGGCAAAAAAGTAGACTGTAATACTTGGCAATCTCTATTCTGCTCTTATGTCTCCCTCTCATTTTTATTTCTGCAGCTCAAACCAAGAGATTCAGACATATGCCATTGCCCTGATCAATGCCCTCTTCTTGAAGGCGCCAGAGGACAAGAGACAGGTCTGCACTTCCTTTTTAATGTTAAATATCAGTAATGGTTGTTACTTTGTCTCAGAAATTGCATTGTCTGGCCAGGGCAGATATCAGACTTTGCCTAAGTTCTTAAATGTTGTTCCCATGTGTCAGCACTGAAGAAAAAAGGCCATCCAATTGGTAAAGAAGCAGCGCATCTGTGGTGAAGAGATGAGGAAATATGAAAGACCTGGGGAAACTAAAAGTAATACTGTACTCAGCACAGAATTCTTTGGTGGTGGGGGGTGGAAAAAATCTATGGAAGATTAATACAAGATAGAGGGAGGCTGTGGGTAGTGTCGTTGGCATTGTATGTGCTTACCAAACAAAAGGACCTTTTTTTAAGTCTTACGGGGATGTGTCTGCTGGCAAATGCGAGAAATAAAGCACCTATACTCTGAGGAAATTCCAGAAATCTCAACTACATGTAAGATGTGCGTACGTCTGCATTGCATAGCTTTGCTGTGTTAAGCCTTTCTTTTCTAGTGTCCCCTTTGTGCTTTTTTTTTCCCCTCCCCCTGGACTCTGAGCTAAATCCTGTCTGCTTCTCTTTGTGCCTTTTTTGCTTTCCGCCAGCAGGACAAGTTCCTTAACCCGCTAGACCTGCCCATCACTGTAAGTAACCCAAGCCTGGGGGCTGGTCATGCATAACTATAGGCATGATGGCTTTTCTCCAGTTGTGCCTCTGTATATGCCACAGGTGCTGCATACAGACTTAAGATAATGGATGAGCCTAGGGAGAAGGGTGGGGGGGACTACTGACGATGCCCTCTGATTTGGAGGGGGCAAAGGGAAAAAATATTTGGTAGTAGGAGAGATCTGAATAACTTATGCACTAAAGATATTAAGGATGATTCATAAAAAGGCTTGCTTAAGTTTTGTAAACTTTAGAAACTACAAAGCTGATCAGGTAAACTGGAACCAGATCTATAGCAGTTGAGATTGCACTACAAACTTAACCTGCCTGAAGGTTAGTTTCATGTGCAGCTGGGCCCTAATAATGGCAGAAATGTTTCTGAAGAAGAGTCACAAAGCTTAGTGCCAATAGTCTTGGGGCTACAGCATGTGTTCTGCCTCATTTGTGACCTCTGTTTCAAAGGTATTGTAAGATTTATTTCTTTTTCTCCAAGGGAAATCACCTGTTATGTTAATAGGTTGATTTGGAAACATCTGTATCTGAGATTCTGATGCACTTAGATTTCTTGGGAAGTGCAGAGAATACTGCATTGGGTTTGTCCCTGCAAAGGTGGAAGCTGCCGTCTTAATAAATTAGATAATTTCTAAAATTAGATAATTTCTAATTATCTAATAGATAAATTATCTAATAGATAAATTAGATAATTTCTAAAATTAATGGGTATGCTTAACATACCCATACCTTCTACCAAGGAAGAATGTACTCCCTTGTCTTAATTTGACTTAAATACTAAACTTCATCCAAAAAAAAAAAAAAAAAAAAAAAAAAAACCAGATTGCAAGGCATCTTTTATTCCCCTCTGCCCTTTGCACACAATCCACAGGATCTTGTTCAGCAGTTTTGGTACAACACAGATCTCTTCATAGAGGTTAGGCTGTGTGTGTGGTAATGCTCCTTACTGAGCTCTTCAAGGTTGTTTAATTGTTCTTGTCTTTCCTGCTGTTTATCTGTTTCATTACCTGTTACTTCATTCTGTGTACAAACTAATTCCTGTAGAGCAAGGATTTTTTTTGTTGTTGTTGTTGCATGCATGAACAAATTCTAACAGCAGGTCTTATTCTAGTACAGTAGTACCTTTCTTGAATAATAGTGAACAGTAACTCAGAGGGCTGTGTACTACTTCTGAAACCACTTCCTACTTAATATAGATATTTCTTGGATACTTTCTACCCAAGCACTGACTCATTTTGATAGTATGTAACATATAAGCACTATTGAACTTGAAGCCACTGTGGCTTGGCTATCAGCCAATTCACTCTTCTGTTCCTACCTTCAGTTACCAAAGTTGAGTTACTTTATGTTACCAAGAAGAGCTTCACATTCAGTCCATATTATTACTGTAATATGTGTATTTTTCCATACTCCTTATGCAATGTTAAAAGAAGGATTGATATGAACAATTTGAACTGTCCTGGACTGCTCTAATTGGATAGCTGATTAGATACAATTATCTTAAGGCTGTGTATCTACTTCTGCTTCTCAATCTACGCAACTTCTTTTGGACTTCCAGATGACACATCACCCGGCAGATTTTCCCTACTCAATGGTTTTGTGCCAGCAACCTTTGATAATAGTTGATCTTGAGAGTAGCTTTTGTACTGCTCTACTAGCAGGTGTAATGAGATTGTTGATACTTTAAAAGCACTTCATCAGGACTCAGTGAGGAAAGGAAAGGTTAGATTTTGCAGGTGCATGTGCAACTGATCTAAGAGCTGAAGGCTTGCAGCAGATACTTAAACCTGTTTATCATCATGATTTGATCTGGGGATGGAAGCCATTCGTTAAAGGAAGTAATAGGAAACTTTCTTGGAAGTTTTCCTTCAGACATGAAAATTACTTACCTCTTATCTTAATAACCTGAATTGTTTATGCAAATAGTCCTCCAACTAGTCCTCTTTATGAACTGAGACAAAGTAAGTGTAAGCTTTGGAGGAAGAGTTTTAGAGGGGGTTAGTGAGAACTGGCCTCTCTGGTCCATGTTACCTTGAATGAATATTTAGGTGCAGAAAGATGGGCCCTCTTTCTACTGTGTGATACTCATTGCAAAAATCCCGTTGCAACTGCCAAACTTTCTGGGCAGTGCACAGAACATTCTCTGCTGCAGTGTCTCTTGATACTGAGGTATCATTAGAGGTACAATACCAAGCCAAGATTTCTTGTTTTCTTGGACTATTCCCCTGTATAAGGTTATTTTGGTAGAACAACCATCCCAGAGTTATGCCATGGTAAAGGTGACCCTTGCATTCCAATTTGTTGCTTATTCTTTTGTGAAACCCCAGTGCTACAGACCATCTGTAGTAAAAGCAATTTGCCATGTGCCAGTGCCGTCTCCTGTTCGAAGGCTTCGTTCTTCTTCTCCTTTTTGCATGATGTTGGTGTTTTCCTTATATTTCACTCATGYTGATTTCATCTCTAAATCCCTGGCAGGAAATGGCTAATGCATTTGCCCAGAAGCACCTGAGATCTATAATCCTTAATGTGAGTATGAAATGCATGCTTCCTAAGGTTTTCTTATTAGCAGTTTCCCTTGAATAAAGGATAAATCCTGCTGCCCTCAGAGCGCTTCCAGAAGAGCAAATATTTCAAGGGTGGGGTTGGAGTCACTTGTTCAAAAGTGCATTAACAGCATGCTGCTTCCTGATGATGGAATGTAGAGCTAAAACAGCAGAATTTTGATATTCATTTCTGTATGTGTTGCCTGGCATATACCTACAGTTAACTTCTCAGGATCTGTTTGTATTCCCTTCACTTTCCCATTTTTTATGTTTACAGCATGTGATCAGAGGAAACCGCCCCATTAAAACAGAAATGGCTCATCAGCTGTACGTGCTGCAGGTTCTGACCTTTAATCTCCTGGAAGAGAGAATGATGACCAAGATGGACCCCAACGATCAGGTTACTGTTAGAGCTGAATAAGATCTGATATAAACAAAGTTAGAAGGAGGATGCTTCCTGAGCTGCTTAAGTCTACAGAATTTGGAGTAGATGGTGCTATAAAGATTCAAAAATACTCCTTGCACTGTACTCCTTGAGATTCAGATATTCTTATTGCTATCTTGATGTGTGTTGTAGAGCTTTTATGGCTATGAGTGTGGTCAGTGGAAAGTGTGTCTTATTTGGCTAATCTGATACCCGCTATCAAACTGATTCTTTCACTTCTATGGAGGGCAAATCCTTTTATCCCATGCTTTTGTTGATTCTGTGTTCAAGGAAGCTGGACCTTTCTAAGATGTCTATTACTCAGCTCTTTGCTTCATTGTAATGGTGAATGAGGAATACCTTAGCAATATCTGAATGGCTGTAAATTGCTTTTAGCTAAACTTGGGATAGTTCAATGTATTAAAACTTACCTTTTTGAAATAGATAACCTTTTATATAGAGATTAACTTGACCTTTGACACCTGTCTGTGCTCACTGTGTAAGCTCTGAGGAGCGATACATTATGTGAAAATGCCACCCTCGCACTTGCTCATGTTACAGTTTTTCTGCCTTCTGTCCCTCAGGCGCAGCGAGACATCATATTCGAACTGAGAAGAATTGCATTTGATGCAGAATCTGATAGCAACACTGTACCTGGCAGTGGAACAGAAAAACGCAAAGCCATGTACACCAAGGACTACAAGATGCTGGGATTCACTGTATGCATCTAGAAAGAGTGCTGGCTTTAGAGCATGTAAAGGCAAACTAAGAGATCTACATCAGAATGGTGGGAAAACAGGAAATGAAGCAACTGTTTGCTTCACTATACTTCTGTAACTGAGTTTCAAACCTCCAGAGAACATTATTGTAAACTCACTATTTGGTAAAAATCCCAGTGGCTAAATAGGCATGTTCTCTGGAGTTATTTATGCACCATGCACAACTATTCCATGAGGAACTTGGAATCAGCCTATCTTCCAGAAAGGTTGGATAGCTTTGTCAGCACATATCAAGTCTACCACTTGGATAGATGCGAAGGAATGTTTGAGGGACAGGCAAATTAAATATATATTCAGAAAATCTCAGTATTTCTTGAGACTGACTTGTTTGGCATATTTCTTTTTGCAGAATCACATCAATCCAGCAATGGATTTTACTCAGACTCCTCCAGGAATGCTGGCGTTGGACAACATGCTCTATTTAGCTAAATTTCATCAGGACACCTATATCAGAGTAAGTGAAGCTACTACTTTTTCCAGGCATTAACACCTCAGTCTAAGTGTTGAATCCTCTTCCCATAGATTGTTTTGGAGAACAGTAGTCGAGAAGATAAGCATGAATGTCCTTTTGGGCGCAGTGCCATTGAGCTTACCAAAATGCTTTGTGAGATCCTGCAAGTTGGGGAACTCCGTAAGTAGCGCTTCTTTGACAGTTGACATTCCAGCTTTCCAAGTTCTTGGCATGATGCTTCCTAAAGTAGCTTATAGCCTGCCTAAGATTCAGAAGCATTTATAAGTCAGTCTCATTTCTGCCTTGTAAGGATGGGGAGCATGGAGTTGCACCTCAGTGTGCCACTGTATCAGTATCAGTATTGAGGGAAGGAATGTGACTATGTGGACTTCGCTTTTCCTAAAGTCTGAGGCAAGTGGAAGAACGCCTCCGGAAGCTTCAGTGGGACCTTGTATGAAAAACACTCTAGAAACTTGAGAATAGTAGCTGTGATAGCCTCAAAACAGCATTCTGAGACATTTAACCATGATAAGGAGCACTACCAGAGGAAAGTGCAAAACAACTGCAAGCAGTCATTTGGAGGACTAGCCTGAAGAGAGTTCATCTGTAGGATGGGCTTGCAGGTGAAGACTGAGGATAATTGCAAGGACTATCTGTGGTGAGACGGAGCATTGAACTGTCTTTGTTTCTGAGATAGTGTTCTTTTACACCATCAGCTTCTTGCCACTGCAATGGATTTAGTTGCTTTTAGTAACTCTTGTGTTATGTGCTGTGATGACTGTGGTTTCTGTCTCTTTCTGAAGCCAATGAAGGCCGAAATGACTATCACCCCATGTTTTTCACCCATGACCGTGCRTTTGAGGAGCTGTTTGCCATCTGCATCCAGCTGTTGAACAAGACCTGGAAAGAAATGAGGGCGACTGCAGAAGATTTTAATAAGGTTAGAATAAGAAGAGGTATCTGGGCAGAACTTTTTGCAGAATGGCTTGTGTACACTTTGTAAAGAGAAAGGAGCAAAATGCATGAAAGAATACTGACTGGAGCTGGTGAGGAAAATAATTCAACCTTTATTTAGTATGACCTCTGTTTCCGCCCCCACCCCCCCTTCTTTCTCTCTCTTCCCTTCCAGGTCTTCAAAGGTCGTCAGTAGGTTGACATTCCTGACCACAGTCATTTCTTGTGTGTTCTTTGAGACCACTCACTGAGCCCTGCAGTGGCTTTCTACTTCTATTAAACAGCAAGAACGTGACTTGCTTTTGTCACTCTCTTTAGGTTATGCAGGTTGTGAGGGAACAGATCACACGGGCTCTCCCCTCCAAACCCAACTCCTTGGACCAGTTCAAGAGCAAACTGCGCAGCTTGAGTTATTCAGAGATTCTGCGATTACGCCAATCTGAAAGAATGAGCCAGGATGATTTCCAGTCACCGCCCATTGTGTAAGTGCCTAATGGTCATACTTGCCTTCCACACTGCCTTTTTCCATTTTTGATCATTCTTGCATTTTTTTTATTGCCAGGGAGCTGAGAGAGAAAATCCAGCCTGAGATCTTGGAGCTGATAAAGCAGCAGCGCCTGAACAGGCTCTGTGAGGGGAGTAGCTTTCGAAAAATTGGCAATCGCAGAAGACAAGGTGAGGTAACACTGTCTTGTGCAGTTGTTTGTGTGAAGAACTGAAGATAAGTAAGACCAAGTGGATTGACCTGTGAATTGGTGTGCTGCTAGAAAGGGAAGCTGGTTCCCGGTTATCTCAGCTGACTATACGAGCCAGTGGTTTGCGATGCAACAGGTGTACACTTTTAAGAATACAGGCATCCTATCGTGAACAGGAAATAAGGCTGAGGAGTTGGGGGAATGGAAGGATTGGATGGGGAGACTATAATGCAGTGTCTGTAAGACCCTATGTGAATGTTCATCTTGTGCTACTTTTATGTGTTCCAGAAAGATTTTGGTATTGTCGCTTGGCTCTGAATCACAAGGTGCTACACTATGGAGATCTGGAAGATAATGCTCAGGGGGAAGTGACATTTGAATCGCTACAAGAAAAAAGTAAGTCCAGATTACTGCTGTAAGCAAACTTCAGTTCTCTTTTTCTTTGGCATCTAGAGACTGTCATTATTACCAGTCCCAGAGAGGAAGTGGCTAAAGCTTGGGCTGGGATAAGATCATTTTTTTGGTCATTGCACAAATCATTTGTGAATCTTAGCAATTGCTTGGTATTTCTTGTAACAGCCAATGTTATAAGACACTGTGTCCCATGACATCCTCATAAGGAAGTTCATAAATTATGAGTTATATGAATGGAGTGTGAGATCAATTGAAAATTGGTTAGGGTATTGACCAGTTGGAGAGCAGTTCTGCAGAGAAGGACCTAGAGGTCCTGGCTGGGTTTTTTCCTATCTGTGACCCATTCTTTTCATTTCTAGTTCCAGTTGCAGACATCAAAGCCATTGTCACAGGAAAGGATTGTCCACATATGAAGGAGAAAAGTGCATTGAAACAGAACAAGGTAATTGCTCCCCTTTGGCCTATAAATAATGCCTAACACTGTACTGTTGAGGACAGTGGATACAAGCCACAGGCTTTCCACACTTCAAATTCTCATGTATTGTTTACAAAAATCTCATATCTGGGACTTTTCCCAGTGCTAGTGTGTAATTGATATGTACTGCTCTGTTATGCTGCAGGCTACTCAGAGTTGCTCAGAATACTGATTTGGGAAAGTGCACTGAGCTGCAGCTAGGTGACTGCTCATTGGATTAGTAGGCAGAAAGTGCTGTTGTGCTTTGTTCAGTCCATCAGTAAAAGACTCTTTTCCATTCAGGAAGTTCTAGAATTGGCCTTCTCCATATTATACGATCCTGATGAGACCTTGAACTTCATTGCACCTAATAAATATGAGGTAAGAAAGACGGTGGTTGAGCAGTAGACTAAAGCAATTAACAGTGTTATTGAAGATGAAGGAGGATTAGTTACTTCATTAGAGGCTTGAGCAGGATGTCTTCCACCAGTTTCTGTCTTCAAAATTGTTGCTGATGCTTTGTGTGATTTCTGTTTTGTTTTTTTTTTCCCCTTCTGTTTTAACAAATTCTTGCACCAATTTTTTCTTGATCTGGGCTGCTAGTTTCTTTCTTCCTGTGAAGATGGTTGTTCGCCATTCTATAGGTCACTATTATTCTAATTCTATTAGCCCAATGCCTAAAATTGCTTTGCTTTTTCTGCTGCTTTGCCACCATACAAGCACATGACCCTTCCACAGGAAGCCTGGGGTCATGTTTACCTCTAGGTGTCTAACTTCCATTGGATACTTCTTGGGCATGTGGGTTTTATTTTGTTTTTGTTTGTTTTGTTTTTTTCCTCTTTATTCCCTCCTATGTTACCTATTTTGGAGCTATATTGGAGTATTTTCATATGTTGCATGGAGAGAGAGAGAGACTCAATATAACCTTGTGGCTCACGTCTGGAATTGTGAATTATTCTTTTCTGCAGTACTGTATCTGGATTGATGGGCTTAATGCACTCCTGGGGAAGGACATGTCCAGTGAGCTGACCAAGAGTGACCTGGACACATTGCTGAGCATGGAGATGAAGTTGAGACTTCTGGACTTGGAGAACATCCAGATTCCTGAAGCACCACCCCCTATCCCTAAGGAGCCAAGCAGCTATGACTTTGTGTACCACTACGGCTGATGCAGGCCCAGCRGTGTGTGCCGCACTCTGCAACGTGTCGCTGCCAGCGCCAGGGCTTGAGCGCGCCTTTGGCGGGCTGTGCCAGGCGCTGTGGTGCTGGTGCAGGCCCGGCTGCAGCCAGCAGCAGCGGCCTGGGTCGCAGGCCGAGCTCTGTGCAGCGCTGTGCTGACTGAGCCGCGGGGCCTGGGCACGAGCGCCCGTCTCGTCTCTGTACGACTTTTGTATGAGTTCCAATAATAACCAGTAGCGCTGCTGTGGCACCGCCGCCTCCGCGCCTTCCTGTGCCCGCCGCACCTCTCCGTCTCGGYGCGTGCCCGGGCCGGGGCCCGGCTGCGGCTCCGCCCCAGG